CTCGTCCTTTTTTACGTAGAAAGAGAGTCAAATTAACTTTCTTGTTGGTATTAGAAGGTACTCAACCCGGACCCAATGCCCTTCTAACGTTTCCTTTTAAAAAAGCCCTTTTTAAAGTGCCTGTTGGGACGGAACATCATGGAGCCGGGCAAACTAAGTTACAGTTTGATCAAAATTTGAGTTTTGCACCACCAGGTCTTGATCAAGCACGCTTAAGCCAAATTGAGCCTTTAACTGGTTTTCTGTTTCGAACTGGGTTACGGCCAGGGTCGGTAAATCTATTATAAAGCATCAGTCATATGATATTTTTTATGGTTCAGACAAATTTATGATATTTTTTGGTTTTCTACGATTTTCTCGAAAAGTATTTAGTATTGGAAAAAAACGTATTTGAAAAAAAAGATGTGTTTTACTGGGACCTACAACTTTTGTATGAAACATTTTTTGAAATTTTGCGTTTTTTGCGAGTTAATCGCAGAGAACCATATTTTTATAGTGTTTTTTATGGTTTTTACCATGAATATGACCGAGTATCCAATTTTCACTATGATTTTCGTAATCAGGGCACAAAATTACGTAAGTATACCAAGTTTCAACAAAATCGGAGCTATGTTGCTTTCGGAAGTATGTCCATAATACTTTTTAACAATATTTATGTTCATCTGTTAATAGTAACGTAATTCTTAAGCCATTAGAAAAGAGCCAAATTTTTTTCTACTCAAAAAAAGAAAGTTTTTCATTTGTTAATTTGAATTAAATTAAAAGTTGTTTAAAATTATAAATAAGACATTTTTATTGTCATAATATCGTTTTTATCTTTCATATGTTAATACTAATGAGATTTAAATAATGTCGAGTTGAAACAAATTTTTTCCAAATATATGAGAAGAAAAGCTATTGAAGTCATCATTTATTTATTATCTGCATTAAAAAAATAATAATAATAAAAATAAATAATAATAAAATAATAATAAAAAAATTTGCGCTTATTACGAATATGATGTCAGTTCTTACAAATTTAACCCTTAAAGCGCACCCTGGGTGTGCGTCACTCATTTACTAGCTTTTTACTCTAATATCTCGTTTAAATTCGTAAAAATTGAACATCTATTGCTATTGGAAGGTACATTTTGTACTTAACATTATGTTTCGTGAGTGACATTTTTCTCCCAAGTGTCTTTGTGTATTTGATAACTCTCTGCTCGGGGGTTTTTTGGATGCGCTTATTACGAATATGATGTCAGTTCTTACAAATTTAACCCTTAAAGCGCACCCTGGGTGTGCGTCACTCATTTACTAGCTTTTTACTCTAATATCTCGTTTAAATTCGTAAAAATTGAACATCTATTGCTATTGGAAGGTACATTTTGTACTTAACATTATGTTTCGTGAGTGACATTTTTCTCCCAAGTGTCTTTGTGTATTTGATAACTTTTTGAAGTTGACGGCGAAAAATTTCTATGAGGCTGATGCCCAATTATCGGTTTAAAGTAATTTTAGTAGTTTAAGAAATTTTTGTTTGTAGTTATTAAGATTAAATAAATTATCATGAAACCTATTTTTCTTCAAAATAGATATACTGAGCTACATAAGATAATTTTTATAAAAGATAATATCCTATTCCAGCTTGGAGAACACACAGTAAAACTCCCGGGTGTCGCACACCCAGTGTGAGGTTTAAGGCTGGATTCCTACAAAGAGAAAAAAAACAAGGCTTTTCCTCGTGTTTTCAATTCATGCCTTTTTCAGGTAGCAGTTGCACCCGATTTCCTGATGAATTTCTTGTGTTTAGCGGTTTGGCCACGCCTTAGCCCATATTGGCCTAAGCTCGTTGCAAGAATCTCACCGGGAAGAACCGTGAGCGTCCTGCATTTGTAATGCAATAATTTTAACGCGTTAAAAGTATATTGTTTCATGGGGAAAAGCCTTGTTTTTTCTCTCCGTGTATGTGTGCGCTTTAAGTGTTAAAATGTCGAATTTGATCAAAACTCGTCACTCGGGGGTTTTTGGGGTGACTGATTATAAATTCAGTGTTAGTTCTTCAAAATATAAAATGACAGTTCCAATATGGCAGAATTTTTAAAAAATTATCCTGATTGACCTAAAACTGTTTACTTCTGGGTTTTCAAGGTCACTGATTACAAATCTTATGTCAGTTTTTTAAAATTCAAGTTCAGAGTTTTTGGGGTCGCTGATTTGGAAACTGTCATTATATTCGTAATCAGCGGTCCCAAAAAACCACCGAGTAGAGTTTCAGGTCAATCCAATTAATTTTTACAAATTTTATTCGCCATATTGGATCCGCCATTTTGAATTTTTGAAAACTGACATCATATTCGTAATCAGAAACCCTAAGAACTTCAGAGTAGATATTTTCAGGTAAATACAAATTTTTTTTCAAAACTGATCCGCCATATTGGATCCGACATTTTGAATTTTTGAAAACTGACATCATATTCGTAATCAGCGACCCCAAAAACCCCCGAGTAAAGAGTTTCAGGTGAATCCAATTAATTTTTACAAAACTCGTCCGCCATATTGGATCCGCCATTTTGAATTTTTGAAAACACAACATATTCGTAATCAGCGACCCTAAGAACCCCCAAGTAAAGAGTTTCAGGCGATTTCAGTGACTTGAAAAAGTTGGAGCACTATGTTTCATATGCGAGTCATTTTTTTAGTTTTAGCCGCCATATTAGCGTCCGCCATTTTGAAAAAAAATTGGTCGCTTCAGGGTTTTGTAGCTGAGTGTCCATGGACGCGTTATTTTGAGCTTTTGAGAGTATCCACTGTTACATCCCGAGCAGAAGGCAATTTTATAGGTTAGGTTATAGAAATTTGGAGGAATGGTAGGCTGATTATGGTCAAGTTGGTAAAGCTTGACCTTTATTTTTTAATAGGATCGTTTGTACTTTTTAAAACTACGGGTTTTGCGTTAACAACAAATAATAATATTCCCTTTTAACAATGTTTATTAAATATTCAAATAATGTTTACAAATAGTTACATAAATGTTACTTACTTTTAGTTACAGGTTATTCGTAGGTTAAAGGTTATAGCGCTGGTTGTTATAAGATTTGTTTTCAAGATATTGTTTCAATTGAATGAAACTAAAAGTTTGTTATGTTACACTTATGTAACTTTCACAACTTTGGAGTTTTTGCGTTTGTTTTAAGAGTTAGTACTGCTGCTAATTGTAAGTGTTACTTATCGTCACTTGCACCTATTACGGAAAGAAACTTGTTTTTAAGTGTGAGAAAAGCAACTTGCACAATAATCGAGTACAACTCGGACTGAATTGCCGATTAAAGAAAGAATTAGTGAAAAACTACAATTAATGAAACTTGACACGCAAAATACGACAGTTAATACATTGAAATTATTGATTCTAAGTGTCAATTTGCTTTTCTTGCACCTTTTACGGAAAGAAACTTGATTCTAAGTAAATAACAAAATAGACTTGCACGATAATCGAGTACAACGCGGACTGAATTGACGATTAAAGAAAGAATACAATAAATCGTGTATAACTGAAGGGTCGCTCTACAATGACTACTGGTCTATAAAACCGCACCGGAACATTTGACAGATTTTGATGAAAGTGCTTTGCTTTATATACTCTGAAATTATTAAAAAGTGGGAGAGTTTGTAGACAATTATGGGGGTAAAAGATGTCAATTCTTAGGAATAATACTTGTTCAGTATAAGTTTATTTATAATTAAGTTTCAAAGAAAAATGCGTATTATTGGCAACTAGCCATCATTTTTACCTCATATATGAAAAATATGAAGCTCGAGTTCCTAGAACTCGGGTTGCGGGAAGGGTTCATAGTAGGCGAGTTCGAGCTTACATGACGTATTGCCGATGCAGCGCATTCCTTTCTATTTTAATCAATTTTTACCTCTAGCTTTGTTTTTCTCTCTATTTTAATGTCGAGACAATTGGATAGAACAAAGTATAAAGTTTTAATTTTGCTTCTATCTCAATTTCTGAATTTTTAATGCTTTTATCATGGATATAATATGTTAACAAAATAGTTACATCGCAGTTACACAAACACATTCTTAACAAAAATGTACCTGGGATGTAACACCACCTACTTTTTTCAGGTGAAAATACGTCTGAAATGAAATTTTTTTCTCAAAAAATCGTGTTTTTTTTTAAAAAATTGTTTATAAGTTTTTAACAATTTGGTATAAACAAATTTTAACAGCAGAATCTAAAAGAGGAGTTAATTTTACATTAAAAATGGTATGTGCTAATTTTTCTATATGCATTTTAATAAAAAACGAGGTCCTCAAAGTCAATTGAAATTTTATGTCCGTCTGGTCCTTAATGGGTTAAGAAACCTTTTTTATGTGATTTCTAACCATGCTGAAACATGCATCTACATGGTTAATAGATTATACAAACAAAATACATTGCTTTAATACCTCCCCACTTTTCCCCAAATGCATGTTTTTACTAAAAAAATCATTATTTGGTCAAAAATTAATATAACATTACAGTTTTATGATAAATTTATTCTACAAGGAACCCCCTTCAACACCATTATAAATAGTTCGGATGCAAAAAAATTATACGATTACATACTTGTGTCGTAGTACAAGACAATATTTTTGATAATGATAAGAAACTAGGTGCATTTTCAACAGTTCCATTATGCGTCATCAGGTTGGGCTGTGTGGTCAAAAAATAACATAAAGGCACTTTTTTAACGAAGTTCATAGTGTCTATGAAAAATCGCGCTTTGATATACGCAAGTTATCGTCAACTCACAGCTTTGCCCCGATCCTCACTTTGGCCAACATTCCCCTATTATGATTAATTAAGAAAAGGTCTTTTCGTATATTAGATTCTTTCCATTTTACAAAAAACTGATAAAATTGTATACTGGTTCATGTAAACAGAAACAAAGAATTAATAAACAATTCATTTAGAATATTTAGAAAATCTTCAGTTTCTGAAACCATCATCAACTTGATATTAAAATTTTAAGGAATTCTTTCCTGCTGAAGCCCGAATTGTTCGTCAGGGAGAAAGAGGTGATAAATTTTATATTATAAGTGGAGGAAATGTTAGGATAACGAAAGATACTGACTACGGTGGAGAAGAGGAACTCGTGGTTCTTGGGAAAGGTCAATATTTTGGTGAAAAAGCTTTATATGATGACGAAGGTGATAATCGAAGACATGCAAATGCTATTGCTCTTGTTCCAGTTGAGTGTCTCACTCTAGACAGAACGTAATGTTTTCTATTCTAAATTAATTACAACAATTTTTTATCATCTTTAATAATTATTAATACTTTTTATTCATTTGTTAAATTCAGATCATTCTTCAATTATTTAGGAAGTCTTGATGAAATAAAAAATAAAGACTGGCAAAAAGACTACGAGAAACAGAAAAGGTCTTTGACTCCCAAAAAATGGATCAACGAATATGCAGATCTGTCTCTGTCGGATCTAAAAACAAAAGGAACCTTGGGTGTTGGAGGTTTCGGAAGAGTTGAACTTGTCATTCCTGAAAAAGATCAGGAAAAGAGTTTTGCCTTAAAAAAACTAAAAAAGAAGATCATGGTCGATCAACAACAACAAGAACATGTATTAAATGAAAAACACATCATGCAGGCTTGCGATTCTCCATTCATATGCAAGTTAGTATATTCTTAAAATAACATTTGCTATTGATTTTTTCATTTTGAGTTGAACGATTTGACCAGATTTCTTCCTACGAAATATAACTTAATTCTAACCAAAGCCTGCTTCCACTTCAGGTATACGCCAGAATTCTTTTATACCCTGCCTAATTTAGCTTAAGATCAGCATAATTGTAATGTGGCCTTCTTTTGTTCTAACTGACCCTTTAAGGGCATACTTTGATTCCTTAGGGGCCATTCATTAATAACGTAAGGGTTTCTAGGGGAGGGGGGTTTGAAAAATCTCTACATGACCTTACGTCGGGGGGAGGGGGGCAAAGACATTCTTACGTAATATTTTATACTTAAAGTCGACATTCGCCCGGAAGCGAATTTATACACAGACTTCACTCAATCAATTTATTTTTAATTTAAAAAAATAGAATTATTTATCGTACAGGATTAAAATTAACAAACAATTGGATTCATAGGCATATTGGATAAATGAAATACCTGTTTTTTGCTTCTAATTTGCAATTGCTTAAACAAATGAATAAACATTTAACAATTTTTTAAAACTGTTGACGTGAATCGATTCTGTGTAAAAATGAAGGAATTTTAGTTTGGGTCATTTTTTTGTCCAAGTCGTATTTTGTTCACAAAATTGTTTTAAACAGATTATGCTGAATAAATAAGGTGTTTTATCCCAAGTGAAAGCAATTGGAAATTAAAAACAAAAAACAGGTATATAATTTTTACAATTTACCTATGAATCTAATATTGTTAATTTTACTTTAAATCCATTTCTTTATCCTTGGAATGAAACACCATTTATATGCAGCATAATTTGTTTGAAACAATTTTGTAAACAAAATACGACTTGGACAAAAAAATAATCCATAGGTACTAAAGTTGATTAATTTTTTGCACAGAATCGATTGGCGACAACAGTTTTCAAAAATAAAATGTTTTTTTATTAATTTGTTTCAATAATTATTGTTAAAAAATTTGAAATTATAAACAGAAAACCTCTTTTTTAAGTTTGCCTGTTAATCCAATTTTTAATTTTTTAATGCAATCCAATGATTGGTTTCTTCATAAGACTTAAAATAATATTTTTTTGCATTTGTTAAATAATATTGTTTCAATAATCGATTATTGAATTGTTATATTTTTATTCTACTACTTTTAAATATGTAAGTTGGTTATATTAAAATGATCTTGTGTAAAAAATTATGACTTCCTTATAAAAATTAACAATATGAGGCATTTGTTAATTAAAATTGTTTAAATAATTTAAAGGTGTCACTTCATTGTTTTAACTTTATAATGAAATACGTTAAAAGGTTTTTTTAGCAAACTACATAAAAAATAAAAAAATACCTATAAGATAAACAATTCCATTATTTATTTGTTTATTAAAAATGCTTAATTAATTAGGGTAAGGGTCCCCATGGTGACTGTAAGGTCCCCAACGATTGTAAATAAAATTTAGGCGATTTTTGAAAAACAGATGTTTCGACTTTCAAAAACGTGTCCCCAAACTGTTGTTAACGATATTTCATTTTACGACGCTTGTTAGACAAGCTCGTGGTAAAATCTTACGTAAGAAGGGCGAGAGGGGTCTGAGAAATCTTATGTATCCTTACATGGGGGAGGGGGGTCAAAATTGCCTAAAATCGTCCTTACGTAATTAATGAATGGCCCCTTAATATTTAAGTGTATGCGGTTCTTCTTTTTGTAATTGGTGAAAATATGGTCAAATCCACGAAACTGTTAACTTTTATGATACTTGAATCGAACACTTAAAAGTCCGTATTATTTTAGATTGAAACTTATTGTTTAATCATATTTTCCTAAATTATATATACTAAGTAACATTTATCTACAGTATTAGAACAAAATATTAATTTGTCAATTAATTTTATGAGTTCAAAATTGAAAAAACGCTTAAATTTCATTTGAAACTATCAGAAAAGTATGTAATAAAGAAAAAGACGTATGTTTTCAAACTTTTTTTACTATCCCATTAGTGTGCTACAATTGTAAGAAATTATATGAAGGTTTGATTGAATGATGACACTTTTTAAGAAAATTTAATTAAACGTCTTCTTATAAAAATACCTAGTGCGGCGTAGAATAAAAATAAAAGTTCAATAAGTTTCTAAATAGACAATAAAAAATCGAACATTTTAAGACCTTTTTCGTTAGTGTGCCTATAATATTTGTATTCCTGTAGAAACAATTTAAAGATGTTAATACAAATCGTGATTTTATTTAAATTTATACATTTTTGAAAGGCAAAACTACAATTTTACTTTAAACAAGTCCATGTATAGTGTGATCGAAGCATTGCCTTACAGATATTCAAAAAAAAGTATGCTGCTCGAGGATTTTGAAAACTATCAATTTTATAAAGTTAAGAATATGCTTAAAATTTCAGAAGTTGAATTCTTAAAAATCAAAAACTTCAATTAAAACCTCCGAGTAAAAAGTTTCAACTGATTTAATTGATGGGAAGGTCTTACACATTTTTGGTTCACTTTATAATATTTCAGTTCCGGAAGGGGTTAATAGTAAGTGTTAAACATTAGGGGCATGAGTTAAAAATGAATCACGCATACGAATTTGTGGTGCTAAAACATTCTTGAACACGTATGCAAAGTGACATCTATGTGCATACAAATTAATAAAAAAAAATTTTTTTCTTAAAAGTCAAAAGTTTTATGGATTTGCCCATATGTCTGATGGTGACGGAATTTCTATTAAATTTGTACAACAGGGTTTACATAAGTCTGGATTATTTAATTTTTGGACCTTTGGCATAGGTGAGAATCTTCTTTTTGGTGCAGATAAGAATGTGTTTTACGTTAGATGGTAATTCTATTAACAATGTTTTTGTTGGTACTGGAATGTCTGGTTTTGGCGAACTTTTGTCTGGAATCTGTTTTATTGTGTCTGGTTTTGTTGTAGATGTTCCTGGTTTTGGTGTATGTGTATACATCCATTTATCAACGTTACAGTTGATTTTAAGAATTTAGTCAAAAGAACCTTATGGCTTTTTAAAAAATATGTTCTTACTCACATTAATTCGAGATGGATTTTTTTGAACCATCATTGGTAACAACCAATGATGGTTCAAGAAAATCCATCTCGGGTGAAGTTTTGTTGATTTTGTTGTATAGCTACTCTTAGATCCAATATATTTTGTCCAAGTGTCTGTTGCATGGATACTCTTAGATCCAACATATTTTGTCCAGGTGTCTGTTGAAGCATAGTTTGTTGTCCAAGTGTCTGTTGCATGGATGCCCTTGGAGCCAACATATTTTTTCCAGATATCTGTTGAAGCATAGTTTGTTGTCCAAGTGAACGTTAAATCATATTTTGAAAATTTAACTGTCTCCAGAAGTTAGTTGCATTAATTCCTTCTTGTTGTTAAGGAAGCATATAATTTAAAAAAATAAGAATATAAAAGATAAAATTTCTAAAAAAAATAACATCAAATAATATGCATGATTTTTATTTATGATATGTAACTTAAAAAGTAAATACAGAATCTACTAGGGTTATCAATACCTACAAACATTCCGGTCTGTCAATCGTGGGGTAGGGCAAAATACAACTGACAAAGCATTAAACCCTTAAAAAATATCGAAAAAGTTTATTTTAATTCCTGCAGATTGAAACCTTAATATATCGAAAATTTACATTAAAAATAATACAACAAAACAATGCCGTTGTGTTAGTTTAGGGTTGCAGCAGGCTCGTGTGGCAGGCCGTCTAAGATAGTGCACTCTAAATTAAAAACTATAAATCGAGAGTTTTTAACAAAACAAATAAAAAAATTCCCGCTAGACACACCCTGGTCGTAACAGATAGTGTGGCAGCCTTCGAAGATACTGCACTCTAAATTTAACTAGCAATAGTTGAACGAGTAATATACCGATTACTCGCTCATTTTATTTTATAATAATTAAAAACTATAAATCGAAAGTCTTCAACCAAATAAATTAAAAAATTCTTGTTAGACAAACTTGGTCGCGGCAAACTCGTGTGGCATCCCTTCGAAGTTGTTCAATCGTCATTTTGCTTTTGTTTGGTATGAATTAAGATTATTTTTAATTTTTTAAATGTTCAAGCTCTTGTCATACGTGCTTTTTCCTACTCCACGATCACTGGACTGGCATTTTTATTTATAAAAGTTTCAATATATATAAAATGAAAAAAAAGTTATTTTGATGGATTTACCACCGCACTGCCACCTCCTGACCCAGGACTGCCCTGGCAAAGTCGCGATTTTGTTATTTGTATGTCTTAAGAAAACTAGATTCAAAAAATTTCCAGCCGACATGAAATGATAAGATTGATTTAGTCGTTAACTCTAAAAATAATAGTAGGAATTTCTAGGAGATCCCTACATATTTTGCGCCTTCGTGCAAACGTTTAATAGAACAGGTTATGAAAAAGTAATTTTTTTTGCTTAGGGATTTTTGGAAAATCTGCATACAGATACCTTGGAATCCGCACTCCAAGGTTATGTGGGGTTAGTAAAATAAAAAATAAAACAATATAAAATAAATAAAATAATAAGCTTAACAAGCTGGCGACCTACTGCCAGCACCGACCCACTAAAACCAGTAACTCTTATTTTAGAGCCCTTTACCCACCCTCGGAATTGTCGTAAGACTTTAGCCTCCAAGGGCTCCAACTCATGAGTTGGAATGTGATAGAGAAATTAATTTTTTGAATATTAAAATTATTAGGAACAACAATGATGATGGTATTATTACTAATTGGTACAGAAAAGTTACATATTCAGGTAGACTTTTGAACTATTATTCCAACCATCCTTTGCAACATAAAATTGCAATTATTGAAAATTTAGTTGATACAGCATTAAAACTTTCTAATAAAACTTTTCATAATGAAAAAATTAATTTAATTTAATTAGATTTAAAAATAAACAATTATCCTGATAAAATAAATCAACATGTACAAAAACGGTTTTCAGAAATTAA